TAGTATTTACGATATTAGTTGTATTATTTTATACTTATCTAAGGTGCTAATAAAATTGAATTACCTTAATATTATTTAAAATCTTCTTAAAATAAAAACCATGTTTTCAATTTTTTATAATTATATATACAATTTAAAAAATGTATCTAATTTTTATCTATAATTATTTAGATATATTAATTGTTTGCCCAATCTTTGTCTTTAACTTTATTTTTATCTAGGTGGTTTAAATTTCATTTATTTTACCTTTATCTAGATATTTTTTTTATCTGATCACGACACTGATTAGGTACCAACTAGTGTAACATTTCCAGGAGGCGGATGTATTGCTGTTTTTTGGAAAAAATAAAAAAAATACACACTTGTGGTTATAATTATCATCGTGATAATATAATAGTTTACATGGTTGTAAGAAAATGTTTATTTTCATGATAATTGATGATGCATTTCAGAATTTTTTCTATATACAATATGAATAAAAGTAATTATGAACATGTTAAAAACATATTAAACATGTATATTTATAAGTTACAACATACAATGATTTACATTCAACTGTCATAATAGTATTACAATGTGTTTTAATAAACCTTATGAATAAAATATAATGGCACTTAAACGCTATTCATTTAAAAAAATGTTTTCAACAGTCATCGAATAAAATGTCTATAAATTCAAGGGGGATGTTCAGAAACCTAAAACACCACTTAGTTTGCGCTACTGGGTATAACTAAAGGAAATATTCTAGTCCCAACCCTTTATGATATTCTTACCTCCGATATCCCGCATTTAAATTACACTTACCTTGCTATATTCGATGACGTTATTGCTATACTGTCCTTCAACTTCAACGATAATAACGTTTCAAAGTCATTTCAAATCCTTCTCATTTAACTCTAAAAATTGTTGTAAATCTGAAGAATGAAAATTAATGAAAAATAATCAATCCTTATTATATTTCCTCTACGCTCCATCAACGGTCTTCTTGTGTATATCAATAACAACAAGATTCCAAAAAAACTTAAAAAAAAATACCTAGCCATCGATCTGGACATAAAAAAACTTAACATGGCCTATCAAATTAAAAATTAACGCAAATTAAGCATAGATTTTCTGTGACATCTTCTCTTCTTTAATATATCATAAACAACTAAAATAAAATTATGCGCCCAACCATGACAAACGGTTTCAAATATTAAGGATTAGTTAAAAAGTCCAACATATCTATCCTTCAATCGTTTCAGTCAATTAATCTATATTTGATATGTGAGTAATCACACTCATATTAAGATTTAAAATATTAAATGTCAATGAAACACACGAAATCATCTTAGCCATTGAATTTCCGACCTTTATTAACTCACTAATTCTAATATTCCCTTAGGTCGCCCCAAAAATAATTTGGCTCTAGTTCATTATTACCTTATACCCTATTACTCCCTTTTTCTTGAACTGATATTAATAGGCACCTTATTCTATAGTGTGATCACATCTTGTAACCTATTATTTTATCAAATAACTTATTACATTATAAATGTAATATATTCTCGATAAAGAAATAAAAGTAAAATTAAATTGCCTGAGGGGAGTGTACGTTATTTTGCGATTCAACACACTCAGTGAAGTACGTACTCACGCGTCTGTGAGTTCTTGTATTAAGACAGTGTTTTATATGAACAATAAGAACAACAATGATGTCCTAATAGCATCTAGCCCAAAAGATCTCAACACAGTTGAATAATTATTTAATCAAGTCGTTGAAAAATATATGACATTCTTCGTAAAATGCATACATTTTGGCATTGAATTCGGTTTGAATACGGTACCGTTGCAGTTGGTGCGTATCATAGGCCAAATATTTTACCAACCATTTATTTCGTTTACGATTAATTAAAAATTATAAAAAATAAAATAAAATAGGTTTAGCTAATCCTAAAAAGTTGTTAAAACCAAGTTCTGCATGCGTACGCGACCGAAGTCATTAAATTATCTTCGAGTCTTAGTGCTCCTTAGTCTTCCCGCTGTACATTTCAGTCGTTCTACCACAAAAACGTATCAATCGATATCAGTGTTTATACGACAAAGTATGACACCGTTACACAATGCGCTATGAACCCTTTCAAAGTCCCCTGTTGGTTCATTCGTCGTAAGTCACACACATCCACTAATGCGAACGGAAACACATGTTTTGACGAAAAATCGAATTAAAGTTCAAATACCGTCCCAAGAGTTTTTGACACGTTTTGCGTGTCGTTCGTATAAAAATAAAAACGGGGAAAGAACCGAATGCTAAAAGCCCCGGCGAAATCAAATTGATTTTTTTTTTATTTCACATTAATATTTCAGAAGACTGATTAACTAATTCACTGTATGAAAAGATGAAAAAAAAATACCTCTCTAAACATTTATTGTGTTTATTTGTCACTATTGTCTGCCAAAAATAGTCTTAAGTTTATCAATGGTTCGGTAAATACTTTAGAGTTATCGAGCCAAATAAATTACTGGTTATTCTTTTGGTATATTTTTATGCAACCAATTACGGAAAATATTACCCCTTTCGCACGTATCGCCTACCAAGAAAAAAAAAACGATCAACAATGGATTTCCATAAAAACGTCATTGATTTTTAATACTAAATACTATAATGATGCATCTAATTTTAATTGTAAACTATACGGTTATACTTAAATTCATTTTTGGATTTAAAAACCGATTTATTATACTTCAATAAATGAAAAATCTGATGTTCTAAATAAGCGTGCAATGATCTTATGTTCGTGACGTGTTCAATATAAGTTAACTAAACAGGTGAGTGGGAAGGGACAATTCTTCCGATCAACTTTTATTACCTTTCAATATTAAATACTTCAAGACAATAATTAGTTCTATACACTTTTCTTAAATTATTTTTCATAACTATATCAATTAATTAAATATCATACACTTCATAAAAGTGTATGTAACATTTTATTGATAATTGTCTTATTTCATTTTTCTAAATCAGAAATATTACAACAGAAATCGAACGGACAGAGAAAAATAATAACAATAAAAATCCATTATTCACTATCTGCATATACTTATTACCAGAGCTGTAAAGAATACTTTTAAAAAGTATTTAAGTAAATATTCAAATACATTTTTTTTTTCAAGTATTCAAGATACTACTAAAATACTTTAAAAAAGTCTTTGGAATTCTTTTCAAATAGTTTTGTAATAAAATATTTGAAGTAATTAGGCCATGGTAAACCAACATTTTGCAAAGAAACATTCGAAAGAGATGCATTATGTGATTTTGAATCACTTTCATCATCAGTATTATGGCTAGAATTACTCTAATTAAAACTTGAAGTACTCGTAATTGTAGTAGCTAGTAGGTTATAAACACTACACAAGTTTTAAAATTAATAAATAAAAATGGTGTAGACTTGCAGCTAAATAGTGATTTGTGGGAAAATCTATGTTATTCTCGTAATCCCGTATTACCAGACAGATATCGTATTTGATATTAACACCTATCTAAAAATACAAAAGGAAATTTTGTTATTGAATATCTATTGTTAGAAACCCGGTTTTCACAAACCTTCGGACTTTTATTATAGTTAGCAATATTTTTCCAACCAAATATTTTGAATAAAAATAAAATGTTTCAAAAAAAAATTTAGTATTCAATAGAAAAAAAAGTATTTAAATACTATTGAAAATACTTAGTTTTGAAAGTATTTAAAAAATTATTCAATTCTTAAAAAAGTATTTGAATACTTTTATCAAATACTTTACAGCACTGCTTATTACATATTTATGTTGATCATAGTAATTATAAAATACAGTTTTTGGGTAGTAATCTGGAACACCCAGCACGCCTATGCGTACGCCTAAGCTGTTCACACACATGGTATTGATAAATGCAGCGATTATTCATTGTAATACGTTGCACGTTTTATCCAACTGTCAAAAACAATGTAAAATCAAATTTGTAATAAGAACCGTATTAATCATATCATGTTATTTTGGGGTATTGGTACCAGTTGTGTAGTTACGGAGGGGGGATGTAATGGGTTTTCTCCGCCCACATTTATTTTTAATGATATTTAATTATTATTTATTAATATTTATATATTTTAGTAAAATTATGTTTTCATTTTACTATGATTAGGTATATTTTAAAAATTGAGTAACAAAATAATTTTCATTAAATACGGGACATAATATTAATACCATTTTAAATGTAATATTATTATATAGAGTCTCGTATTAAGATATACTAAGAATATTATGAATATGGTTTGTGTGTTTGGACGCATCAAAATTCCGAGAGCGGTCACTCATCCGGGAGATAGACGGCGGACGTAATCACAGCGTCGGCAACTGCAGCTAAGCACTGCCACGTATCATACACGAATTTAGTATTTATCGTTATACGGTGTGTAAAATAAATAGTGAATTATTATTATTATTACTATCGTGGATTAAAAATTGTAATAAAATTTCTATGGAAGACACATCAGAAATATTAAAAACGAAATTAATTCCGGTGAAAGATTAAGAACATTATAAATCATTGAACTCCAAAAACTAGACTTAAGAGATGCACCATTTTTATTCTTTAATAAAACATGTTAAATTTAATGAAATTCAAGACTTCTATTAATTATATCAAAAATAGTTTAAAAATAAACTTAAATGTTAAAAAATAATATGGCTTGATTTATACTTTTCACACATATAAGTGAAAATTATTTTTTAAAAATACTAGAACAACAAAATAAATATGTTTAGTCTATTATTCATATTGAACATTTAAAGAAACTTTTTTTACAAGTTTTAGGGCGCTCAATTAGATTCAATTATATTCATATTACATTCAGATTAATTATAATTAATAAGATAGTTTTTTTTTGATTCATAATGGCAAGAAGCAAATAAAAAAAATGTACAAGACCATTGAAAAAATTTAAACATTGTTTTAAGTTTCAATGTCATAATTGGAATAAAATTTTCATTGCCATAATATTTCAGCAAAATCGTTAATAGGCATTAGTGTTCATAATGCAGTACATTGACATATGTGCAAGTTCATCGGTAATGAATACCACGAAACGCATAATTAAATATAATTTATATTTATTGAAAAACACGTGACTCACGATTGCGCATTTAATACAAAAATATGTTTACATTAAATCTAATTGTTTGATTTAGATGGAAAATGCATTGGTATTAAGTCAATTTATCTTCCATAAATAAAGTATAATACAGCATTTGTCAGATATAGTATTCACAATCTTCGGCTGAAAATAAATAATTATAACAACTGAATGAACGATTGTGATCACTTAAAGTTTGTACGGTATGTGAACGTTCAAACATGGCGTCGTGTACCATAGTCTACACTCGTTTACTGTCGGATCATATCTGGTTCCTTCTGGACAAATGAAAGTCTCTCTCAATCCATTATAATGGCAGAGATGGAAAAACTAAAAAGAAAAAAATAATAATAATATAACACAAGTTGAATACCGAAAAATACTATTTTCAATAATCGCATGCGAAATAAATGATTTGAAACCTCGAATTGTTGGCTCACGCGTTATTACGGCAATATTTTTCAAACAGCAATCGGTTTATTATGGCAAAATACTTAAAATTAATGTATTGAAATGCTTACCAGAAGTTATAGTTAAAAGACTATATGTACTTTGGAAGGTAAGTAAATCCAGTATACTAAATTTGAAACTAGAATTATATCATATGAATTATTATTGTTATTATTTTTATTTTCAGTAAAATTCTAGGTTAAATTTTTTAATTTTTATTTATTTTTTTTATTGAAAAGAAAAAGAAGGTTTTGACATCGAAGGTTATTAGGCTTATGTAAAGATTAGATTTTAGCAGAATTTAAGTTTATAAATTATAAGTTATTACGTTTATATACATCAGAGATTATCTAGAATATTATTTCGTTAAGGAAATTTATAATTTTTATAGTGTTGTCTTCATTAAAAGCTTCTTCTAAGTTGTCTGCTACTGATGGGGTGTTTTATTTTGGTTTAATATTATTATTGTATAGCTATTTGGTGATCGCTATGCCATGGACATTTTTTTTTTTTTAATGTATAATTATTCTTTATAGATTATTACATCTAGGTACTTAAAATAATCTTGAAACATTTCAAAAGGTTTAAAGATAACAATGTAACACTCCAACTATGATCCGATTTTTATACCGATTTTTTAATTTATTCAAATATCTCTTCCTACACAAATGTATATCATAAAGACATTAAATATTTATCCATATATATATATATATCCTATAAACAATTTACAACGTATGTTATACTTACTACAGTGTTGAACTACTATAATATATATTAAGATGATTAAAATAATAATAATAAAATTGAATTTAAATGTATATTTTTATTAAAATAATTTTGAGTAAATATACTGCAAAAAAAAATAATGTAATTATCAACTGATTTTACCAAACAAAATATATAAAAACACGGACACTCGTTAAAGAAAAATCGTGAACATTTTCCAATCAAGAGAAGTGTATTAAATAAAAGGGATATTATTAAAGTTTAAAATAATCATAACAAAAATATTACCGAAAGCTGTAGTCTTGTGAACCGGAAAACACGCCGTAGCTTTGTTTTTGAAATACTCGTTATGAATTTCTCTGATGTAAAAGAAACATTTTATAAATTCAAATTTTTCGGACTCGAGCCAACAACATTTCGGAGTACACGACGCGGTTCTTAAAATCAATTCTCCGTTAGCCAAATCTTTTTATCATACATTTCTCTTCCATAAGGATGGCGAAATTCCAAAAAGAACAATAATGGGTTAGATCTGATGAAATAAATTCGAACAGCATGTCATGGACACGATGTCTGACATAATTGTCGAGGGATAACTGTACACTACGACGCATCGGGGCTGAAAATTTCGTATCTTGTGATCTAGACGTTGTTCGATGTACACCGATGGTGATTTTACGACCCCGGCAAAGGTTCGTGGGACCAGGCGTGCGACGGCGAATAATAATAGTGGCATGAAAGTTTTTCTGACCCTGAAGTGCAAATGTACATACGGTTCCAGCTCCTGCGTGTTGAAGTGTTACGAAAGACACCGATCAGGAATTCGTAAACCTACGCTGCCGTAATGTGTTTGAACTCAAATTTAAAATCGAATGTATTCCTGTCGGATTTTACGAAAACGACGAATCAAAAAAAAAAAAATAAATAAATATTTTTCGATGTGAAAACATCTTTCACGGAGTTCAGACCTTTCCGCTTGGGCAGTGAACATTTTCAAACGTAAAGGTATGTTTCCCTGCAACGTTTTTGTCTGAATTTGTAAATTGAATAGACAGTTTTGAAACTATAGAAAAGCTATAAAATAGCTATTGAAAAGCAGCAGTTACAAATGTATCCCGAGACAGCGAACAAAAAAAAAAAAGGGTACGGTAATTATATATTCAATACAATATAGTTGGGTATCTTTTCAATAATAATACTTCTGAAAAATATTTCATCATTACGAAAAAAAAAAATTCAATTCTATCCTACAAATCATATGAAAGCACGTGTTTTAAATTAAGAATGTTTACGTTGTATTGTAGATGATAAATATATATTTATAAGTTCATGTATATGTTTTCACATTTTCTGACGATCATCAGTGATATTTTCTCTTTTCTTTCTTATGTAACGTCTATATTTTTTTTATTTTTTTTTTTTTTAAAAACTAATACAATTTAAGTCGCAGCGGTTATAAAAACAAAATAAAATTCCCTTTAATATTCAGTAATAAGATATTGTAATACGACGGCAATCAGTTAACAGTTCTTCGCGGGACTCATCACGTCCACCCGCATGCATAACAACATGTACTATCATAAGCGGCACTTGGTAGAAACTCATGTGGGTGCAAACGTTTATGGTGATTAACAAACCAGTTGGGGGGGGGGGTGTTTTTCCACGTCACCTAATATTTAACTACTACTATTACAAAAGTAATAAAAAAAATCTTTATGTAAATCTTTATTATATATTTCAATTAGCATAATATTTAATTGTAAATATTAGTTATAACTTATAAATATATAAGGAACCTATTTTTATCAACATAAATAATAATAAAAAACAATTAATGTTAGTAACATATATTATAATTAAAATTACATTATATTACTATTGTTAGCATTTGCAATTCAATAACTAAAATATAATATAATATTTTTGACTGTTGTCTGTGGGTGCAAAATGATACTTTTGCCCCCCTAGAAAAATTGTCGTGGGTGCAACTGCACCCTCATGCTCCCCCCCAGATGCCACCACTGTGTACTATTAATGATATCGGTAAGTATAAGTTGCATTCCGATAAAAGGTCCCAAAACAATATAAGTAA